CATATCTTTAATTCCTTTTGTCACATCTATCATGAGCTTTCAGAAAGATGATCTATTGATTTCATTTCTCTTTAAAGATCTCCCTCTGGACACTTCTTTCTCTTGCTTTCTTCTGGACTAATTTTTTTTTTTTTTTTGGCCTTTTTTCATCTAGAACTTCCTTCACCTTTTCTCCCCTTAGATTCCTTGTTTCCTAGATCTCACTTCATCCACTTTACTGATTACTTTCTTCCCCTTACTGAGACATATCCTCTGGTAGCTTCTTTAAAAAGATCACATGATAGTCAAATTTTTTGAGTCATTGCATGAGTCAGTTATGACTCACGGTAACCCCAAGTGTGCAGAGTAAAACTGCTCCATTTTCAAGGCTATCATTTTCAGAAGCAGACAAGCAGGCTTGTCTTCCAAAGCACTTCTGGGTGGGTTTGAATTGCCAATCTTCTGGCTAATAATTGAGCACTTAACCATTTTTTTGCCACCCAAGGACTCCTTGGGATGCATAACAGGGTCTTTATTCTTTCCTCACATTTGATTGGTAGTTTGGCAGGGTAAGAATTCTAGATAGAACATAATTTTCTCTTATGTAAGTAAGTTTGGAGACTTACTCCATTGTCTTGGAATATAGAAACATAGAGACTCACTATCTGTTGGGCATTTAAATGAGGGAGTCATAAAGCTGGGGCTAGAGTAGCCCTATTTTGGCTATGCCAGAGTAGTAGTGGAGCAGGAGGAGTGTGCCCAGAATGAAGGAGATAGGCAGAGATGAGAGACCTTGCCATCCATAAGAGATTGAGACAGAATAACTGGTGACCTACTGGCTATCTGGTTTTTTATTCCAGAAATTGAAACTCATGCAGGGCAGCTGTACTTCTTGTTTTATTTTATTTTTTCCCCTTGAATCCTTGGTCACTTGAGTCAGTTTCTGTTTCTTGCAAATAGTGCTCCTTAAGACAATGATTCATTTTATCTCAAATCCATCTCTCTGTCTCAACCTGACTGCCAATGTCTATTTAAAAATATAGATGCATCTCCGGGGAGAGCTCTGAACTGGGAATCAGGAAGTCTAAATTTGGGAACTCTATATGTTTATAATACGACTATTATTCAAATTTATGCACCAATCACCAAAGCAAAAGATGAAGAAATTAAAGATTTCACTAAGTTCTGTAGTCCAAAATTGATTAAACTTGCAATCAAGATGTACTGATTATTGCTGGTGATTGGAATGCAAAAGTTGGAAACAAAGAAGATGCACTGGTAGTTGGAAAATATGACCTTGGTGATAGAAATTACACTGGAGATCACATGATAGAAATTTGCAGGACCAACGACTAATATTCATTGCAAATGCCTTTTTTTCAACAACATGAAGGCAAATATACACATGGATCTCACCAGATGGAATAAACAGAAATCAAATCAACTACATCTGTGGGAAGAGGCAATGGAGAAGCTCAATATTATCAGTCAAAACAAGGCCAGGAGCTGACTGTGGAACAGACTGTCAATTACTCATGTGCAAGTTCAAGTTGAAGCTGAAGAAAATTAAAACAAGTCCACAAGAGCCAAAATATGGCCTTGAGTATCTCCCACCTGAATTTAGAGACCATCTGAAGAATAGATTTGATGCATTGAACATCAGTGACAAGACCAGATGAGTTGTAGGATGACATCAGAAAGCAAAAGTTCATTAAGAAGACAGGAAAGAAAGAAAAGACCAAAATGGATGTCAGAAAAGACTCTGAAACTTACTCTTGAATGGAGAATAGCTAAGATGAAAGAAAGAAATGTTGAAATAAAAGAGCTGAACAGAAGATTCCAAAGGGCAACTCAAGAAGACAAAGTAAAGTATTATAATGAAATGTGCAAAGACCTGGAGTTAGAAAACCAAAAGGGAAGAACATGCTTGCCATTTCTCAAGCTGAAAGAACTAAAGAAAAAATCCAAGCCTTGGGTTGCAATACTGAAGGATTCTATGGGCAAAATATTGAATGATGCAATAAAACTCAAAAGAAGATGGAAGGAATGCACAGTCTCACTGTACCAAAAACAATTGGTCAACATTCAGTCATTTCAGGAGGTAGCATATGATCAAGAACCAATGGTATTGAAGGAAGAAGTCTAAGCTGTACTGAAGGAATTCATAAAAAACAAGGCTCCAGAAATAGATGGAATACCCATTGATATGTGTTCTGGTTACTTAGTGCCTCTCTGACAAGAATATACCGCAAATGGGATAGCTTTAACAAACAGGAGTTTATTCTCTTATAATTTGGAGGCTTTAAGTCCAAGTTCAAAGTGCCAGGCTCTAGGGGCTGGGTGAAAGCCCCTCAACTTTGGGGTCCAGCTTTGCCTCCTGCTCCCGGCCCAGTGGAGCTAGAAGTGTTTCTTCACTCAGACAGCTGTTGGCTGCTGAGGCTGACAAACCCAAGGTCAACAAGTGGAAAGGCACAGTCCTGATGTTACGAAACTACATGGCAAACCATTAATCTAAGTCCATTTTAAGTCCCAAGGTTGGCAGAGCATGGCAGGCTGCTGAACAATGACACAGCTACATACAGGGTCCAAGCATGCCATAAGCTGGAGACTATCCCCAAGGCTTCTCCTTGTATACAGGAAGCAGACCACATCCCAAAGGCAGCTACTCAGCTGCTTGTGGTAGATCCCACCATGGAGTTGATTGCCAGTCTCATCATGGGGAATAATTACCACCAGCTGCCCAGCCACTCAACCAGGCCCAGCTAAGTTGACATACAAATTTAACTACCACAACGTGTTTCAACAAATGGATGCAGCTCTGGAAGGACTTACTTGTGGACGCCAGGAAATTTGGAAGACAGCTACCTGGTCAACTGACTGGAAGAGATCCATATTTGTTCCCATTCCAAAAAAAAAAAAAAAAAAAAAAGATGATCCAACAGAATGTAGAAATTATCAAGCAATATCATTAATATCACATGCAAGTAAAATTGTGCTGAACATAATTCAAAAACGTTTGCAGCAGTATATTGACAGAGAACTTCCAGAAAAGCAGGCTGGATTCAGAAGAGGATGTGGAATGAGGGATATCATTGCTGATGTCAGATAGATCTTAGCTGAAAGCAAAGAATACCAGAAAGATGTTGACCTGTGTTTTAATGAACAGAACAAGGTAATACTGCATGATTTAAAATCAGGAAGGGTGTGCATAAAGGTTGTATCCTTTCACCATACTTATTTCATCTGTATGCTGAGCAAATAATCAGAGAAGCTATACTATATGAAGTGGAACGTGGCATCAGGATTGGAGGGAGACTCATTAACAACCTATGATATGCAGCTGACACAACCTTGCTTGCTGAAAATGAAGAGGATTTGAAGCACTTGCTGATGAAGATCAAAGCCTATAGTCTTCAGTATGCATTACACTTCAACAGAAAGAAAACAAAAATCCTCACAACTAGACCAATAAGCAACATCATGATAAATGGAGAAAAGGTTGAAGTTGTCAAAGATTTACTTTTGCTTGGACCCACAATCAACACCTATGGAAGCAGCAGTGTAATGTAAATTACATGGTATGGTTTTTCTAGCTTTAGTCTTTGTAACTCCCACTTTGCCATGAGCATCTGAGTAGCTGATTATGTTAAAGTTACCCACCTGGTGCATTTCTGTTGGAGCAGCAGAAAGCAATCTTCTGGGAAGTTTGCTCTCTTTCAGGTGTGTAGAATTCTGATGTTGGGATTCGTTAGTTTTGCCACTCTGCCAGGCTCAAAAGGAGCCCTCCTAGAGGCAAGAGGAGTCTCTTTGACTGTCAGCTGAGAGAGATGTGAGAGAGACAGCTGACTGCTAAGAGAGAGTCCTGGCTGCTGAGAGAGATGGCTGGCTGAGAGAGACTGAGCACATTTCTGAACTTGAATTGTAGCCTGTTGCTTCCCTAATAAACCTCATGATCTGTGAGTTCTGTGTGGCCAGTGCAGTGAATTATTGTACCCAGCAGAGGGGTGGTGGGTGCTGCGGGAGGAACGTTTAATGACAAGGTTAGTAAGAGGGTTGGAGGGTGGTGGCATGTCTGGTCTCATAAGAACAGGCCTTGGGCTGCTGATGGTAATTCTGTCATCCTCTTGTGTAGTTAGAGAAGGTCAGAAGATGTTGCCTTCTTGCTTTTTTAGCAAGAAGTCAAAGAAATCAGACGTCATATTGTACCAGTCAAATTTGCTGCAAAAGACCTCTTCAACATGTCGAAGAGCAAAGATATCTCTTTGAAGACTAAGGTGCGCCTAATCCAAGCCATGGTATTTCCATTGCCTTATATGCGTGTGAAAGCTGGACAATGAATAAGGAAGATGGAAGAAGAGTTGATGCCTTTGAATTGCGTTGGTGAAAAATACTGAAAACATCTTGGACTGCCGGAAGAATGAAGAAATCTATCCTCTAGGAAGTGAGGCTGGAATGCTCCTTGTCTCACCTACTTTGGTCATGTTGTCAGAAGTGACCAGTCCACGGAGAAGGATATCATGCTTGGTAAAGTGGAAGGTCAGAGAAAAGGGGGGAAAACCCTCAATACAATGGATTGACACAGTGACTGCAACAATGGACTAAGCATAGCAAGGATTGTGAGGATGGTGCAGGATAGGGCAGTGTTTCATTCTGTTGTACACAGAGTTACTATGAGTTGGAATCAACTCGACCACACCTAACAACAACAACAACAACAACAATAACTTTTACTGGCACTGGTTAATGAGTAGCATTAGAAAAGCTGATTTATCTCCCTGTGACTCAGCCTCCATCACTAAAAATGGGATGCCTACCTGTCATATTTTTTAAATTAAAGACAGAATGAGATTACCTTTGTGTGCATGGTTTGAGGAAAGACATCTGTCAGTGGGAGTGATGGGAAAAGATTGAGTAGTGGGAAGGACTCTCTGCAAGGGGATTACTTATCCAGGATCTGAAATATCACCTCTGACTCCAGCTATCGACCCTGTCCACTGTCCTACTTGTTGGCATCAGGGATATCAGCAGCTCACTAAAATGGAGAAAAAATGGCCCTGAAGGTAGATATCTGCCTTCTGGCTTCTGGCTTCTGGTACCACACTGGTAGGTCCCACTGTCCAAGGGTGTGGCTTGGTTTATGGTGAACACCAACTGCAGTCATCTCCCACTGACACCATCTGGCCCAGGATCTGATTTAAGTGTCAGCTGCTCCAAGCTAGTCTCAGGGGAGTAGTCACTAATACTGTCCTTGCACAAAACACTATAAATCCCTCAGCCTCTTCTTTCATATTCCACACAGTACAGATGAAATTTAGCTGTTTTCCTTTCTGGGAAGTTGAGCTGGAGATGTGTGTTCACTCTAGAATGGGAAGGAACAACCTACTCACAGGAGTCCCTTTAATCCCACCATAGCTACTCCCTGTCACTAGAGGTCTTCAAGGAAGATGAAGCATGACCTAGCAGAAACCCTAGCAGATGGGACACCTAAGTTCTAACTCTGGTCCTGGCTGTGTTATAAAAGACAGTTAACTCCTTTGAACAGTAGTTTATTTATCTGGAAAATGAGAGATAAGGAATTAAATAAATTTCCATTCATTCATAGATTTGTTCATTTGTACCTTCAACACATGTTTACTAGGCATCCACTCTGCCAAGCATATCATCTATGAGAACCTGAAGGAATCTTAGATTGATAATCAGATTTCAAGGCTCTGTAACACATAACAGAGGCAGAATGTCTGATGCTGAGGACAATAGTAGTAGTTCCAACACAAAAGGAAAAGAAGCTATATTTTTCACCCTTTCACAAGTCTCAAGAAAAATAGGTCCTTTTCTTCCCCACCAGAAAAAAAATTGTGGAGCCCATCCATCCCCATGAGCCCAGAATTCTCTGGGGGTCTGTCCTTAGCACCAGGCCGGATGTCCACCAGCAGGATGACCAGAGCCAACCAGCCTCTGCCAAGTGTTATTCACGTCTTGCACATTATCAGCAGCCTAGTCAAACAAACGTTGATTCTGCTGAGCCTTACTCTCCTGAAAGCACAGGGAGACCGTTACAGATTGAATTGTGCATCCCACCCCCCACCCCCCCGCAAAAAAAATAAATAAATAAATAAATTGAGGTCCTAATCTCTGTACCTGTGAATGTGACCTTATTTGGATGCAGTTTTTTTTTTTTTTTTTTTTTTTCCTGTTCTCAGTTAAGTGAGGTTATACCAGAGAAGGGTGATATTTTATAAAAAGGGAGTCAGGAGAAGACAGACACCATGTGACATCAGAGGCAAATGCATCTATAAGCCGCAAAGGGAAGCCAAGGATTGCTGGCAGCCACCAGAAACTAGGAGAGAGACATGGTCAAGGTGTTCTCTGAAAGCTCCCAGAAAAAATCAACAAGGCTGAGACCCTGATTTGGACTCCTAGATTCTAAAACTGGGAGAAGAAAATAAATTTCTGTTCTTTAAAGCCCTTCAAACCCTACATTCTACGAGTAAGAGGGGTTAGGCACTGGAACCATAGTGGCAGTGGCCAGCTTGACAGTGCCACTAAAGGACCCACCAGCCACTCCTCGGAAGGAAGGTTGGGCAATCCTACTTCTGTAGTGATATTGCCTTGGAAACCCAAGGAGGGGTCGCTATGAGTTGGGTCTGACTCGATGGCACAAAACAACAACAAACTGAGGGGTGTGGAGACCAAGAATCACATGTGTTTTATTCATCATCGTATTTTCAGCCCCTAACTACAGTGCTTAGCAGTAAGCATTGCTTTTGGTGAAGAAAGGAAGGAATGAAAAGCAGTAAGGGAAGGTATTAAATATATAAGAAAGCAGTTAGAAAGGTAGAGCTCTGTGGGTGGTGAGGAGAACACACCTATCAGATGGCTTGAGCTGTTGAAACTTGAACACTTGTAGTGGGGTAGGAGCAGGTTTCAGGGCTTGGAGAGAGCAGGGGAAAGAAAGCCCAGTCCTTTGAGGCTTCCACATGAGAACAGAAAAGGGCTGACTCAAAAGCCAAAGCTTCTGAATAAGGGCCAAGCCTCTAAAGCTTGTTACAGAGAGCCATGCCATTGTAGCATTCAAAATCCACATGAGTATCCTCTCTGAAGGAGCTCTGGTAGCCTACTGCCTGAGGCACTTGACTGCTAACCAGAAGGCTGGCGGTTCAAACCCACCAGCCACTCCTTGGAAGGAAGTTTGGGCAATCTACTTCTGTAGTGATACAGCCTCGGAAACCCAAGGAGGGGTCGCTATGAGTCAGGTCTGACTTGAAGGCATGTAACAATAATAACAACATCCTCTCTGAAGAGGATAATGGGGGCACATAGGTTCCCATAGTCCTGGTAGCCACACAGGAGCTTGCTACCTTCATAGACTTTCCTAAAATGCACTGCTGCCTACCTCAGGTGTGGCAGCAAGTTTCTCCAGTCTGACAAACCCCATCAGCGTTGATATGGTGATAATTAAAACATTTTAGAGTTTGCAGGAAGCCCCAGGACAAGGGAGAGGCCCAACAGCAGCAGCAGGAGCAGGAGGAGCAGGAGGCGATCTTAGAACCCAGCACCCGGGAAGAGCAGAAGGCAAGACAGCCAGGCCTCCAAACAGAATCCTTCATAATGCCCTTGACGGCACTGGATATTATCTTTTGTATTTCTGCCAATCTGATGGATGAAAAATTAGCTCTTACTATTGTTTTATTGTGCATTTCCAGATCTTCAAGGTTGAAGATCTTTTGGGCATTAGTATTTCTTCTTCTATGAATTGCCTGTTCATATTCCATGTTTTTCAACCCCTTTTCTTTTAAA